ATATATTTATAATTGTGCTTGGTCCTACAGGAAGAGGCATTTTGATGCATTTCTGTGCTGTCTGCTTTTGATGGTCGTTCTCTTTAATTTCTTTTTTTTCTTTTGGGGGGTGTGGTAATTGGGATTATCTGTTTGTTATTGGGTATTGTATGCGTTTTTACTTTAATTTTGGCATTATATGAGTTATGGTTGCACCTTTTTTTGCATGTGTGTGTTTCTGCTGTAATTATTGAGTGTTGATCGATTTGTTGTGTGTTCTTATTTTCTTGTTTCCATTGATTCACTTTGTTTCTGGTTTTTCTATCTGTTTTTTTTTTCTGTAAGCGATTGAAGTAAGACTACTGCAAGAAGTTTTGCAATGGTAATAATGCGCTACGTGCTGTGTATCCTGGCTCTCCTGCTCTCATGTGCGTGTATGCACGTCCTCGCTGATGAAGTGCCTGCCGCCGATCTTTCCGACCAAGTCCCTGATACGGAGAGTGAGACAAAGATTCTTCTTCAAGGTACTCCTGTCGCCCAACATACTGATGAGGGTGATTGCTCTAAAGGTACTGCTGAAAAAGGTAAATGTACTGCTACTGGTGCCGATACTGTTTCTGGCTGCACTGGTGGTTCTTCTAAAAATGCCTTGACTTGTCCACAGAAACTGACTACACATGAACAGGGTCCTACCGGTCCTATTGGTGCTGCTGTCGGTAATTGCCGTGATGGTACTCCTCCTGATGACAGTAAATCTTGTGCTGAGGCTTCTCCCGCTCCAGTTTGCTCTGAAAATCCTCCTGAAAATAGTGAATGTACGGAAAAACGCGACGTTTCTCACAAAGCACATGAAGCTCCTAAAAAACCTCTCGACCAAGTTAACCATGCTACGCTTGATTCTCGAAGCGACTCTGACTCTCTTGGTCAAGGAACTGTTGAGGGTCTTCCTGGTCCCGCTGGTTCTCGTGGTGATGATGGTCTTGAAGGTCGTGGTGGTTCTGGTGCTCCTGGTCCATTGGGTGAGGCTGGTTCGAACGGTTTATCTGACGCTGGAACTGGTTCTCCAACAGTGGCTGGTCCTGAAACTGCTGAACCAACTGCAAGGGAGAGTGAGGCTGAGGCTGCAGGTATCAGTCGACCTGTAGACGGCGACAACATTGCAAAAGGT